TATCATACTAATAAGTTAAGGCAATTTATTATTAACTCACTGGTCTACAATAGTCATTGCAAAAATCACATAGTTAAGCACAAAACTATGATAAACACATACACAAACAGTTTCTATAATTGTTATATATTTACATCTCATTCAAAATAAGAGTCAACTTCAGAAATTCACCAGACTCTATAGACCAAAATGTTTATCTTATGGCTAAGTGACAAATTTGTTCTTCATTCTAGGCAATCGTTCTTAATACTAAACCAAAAGTGTTTTGCTTATTTAGCAAAAGTAATGAACTTAAAAAAAAAAGGAACCTGTATCTGCTTCCCCTTTCATTAACAGGGTTAGTCTTGGAAAAGAAGTCTTTGAACACATGACCTGAAGTAATGATTTTCTCTGTGCTGGAGGAAGGCTTTGGAATCAACATGGTCCACCAGAGAAATGATGTAACATCTTCTGGAGCCAGAGTTGTTTTTTTTTTTCCATTTTGAAAGTTGTGGCAACAGCAAGGTATTTCCCAAGCGCTGTTCTTGTTGAAATGATGAGATTCTACCCAAGAAGCTAAGCACGACATCTCCTCAGAGTCTCTGACCTTCTGCCGTTGTTCACACGCACTGTTAATTGTTGTTAATTTCCAATACATCATTAATTATTTGCCATTAAAGATGTGGGAGATGGAAATGCCCTTCACTCATGGGTGATCAGATGAATAAACTATTCATAACTACAAAACGTATGCTACTTTAAAGGTATAAAGTGAACTTGAGCTGGAAGGTGTGTGTCTCTGATGGCTGGGCTGTGACATCCGGCCAGTGTGGGTGGGTGCTTCGGTGACCCAGCACCGGTTGAGGAAGATGGCTCCTTTTGCTTCTTTAGTGATTGTAGCATCTGGCTGCTAGAACATGATGCGCTTTGCAGAGAATTTGCAGAGAGCTATTTCCTCTGCAGCCTTTCTCCTCCTTTGTGGAAATTGCTCCAAGATAGAGTAAGTCCCTCAGATGTCACCGCCCAGGTCAGCCACACAATTAGGACTTAGCTTGGAATTTCTAACTCCCACTCCCTCCCTGCTCACCAGACCATGCCTACAGGTCAGCATTCATGCTGGGGAAATGCTACTCCCACCTCAGCCTGGCAGAGATGGAGTCAAGGCCATCCTATTTGACATTGGTTCCCGACGTTTGAAAAACTATACCTGGCTGGCTCTCTAGTTGGTGTAGAAATGCTTCTGTACGAACTATCCTGAAAGCGCAGACATTGTTCCTATGAATGGATAGCAATGTTAGAAACTAAACATTATGTCAGAAAACAGTATCTTATGTGATCTTTAAATTTGGACAACCAGAAAATGTTTGGATATCAACAAAAGATTTAGGAAAAGTCAATGAGAAACCTTTTTTTCCCCCTTTTACTTGTGTAGATTCTACCAGTGAAATATACTGTAGATTCTGGAGTTACAACTTCCATGTGTTGCAGGAAAGTTTGAAGGTGATAATTCTTTCTAGTTGGACCCTTTGCTTGTTAGTGAGAAGATGGAAAGTGCCGGAGGCGCTTCGCTGTAAACGTGGGAATCAAGGGCCCCCCCCGCCCTGGGAACTGTGCCCTGCTCTTCACGGTCTGTGCTGTGATTCTGTCTTTATCTAGGCTGAGAACGCAAACTCAAGGCAGCATCTCATTCTCTCCCCACAGCTTCCCTCCTCTGTTTGTCTCTATGCTCCCGCACTGGGGAGGTCAGGGGGACGTTTTTCCATTTCTTTTAAGCATCTAAGAGACAGAAAAATTACACTGTGTAACTTGGGGCATCCCATGTCAGCATGGACAAAACACCAGGTTGGAAATGTAAACAAAGCTCATGGTTTGAGTATTCAAGCTAGGGTAGTAAGAGAATATTTATTCTTCTGGTAAACAACGAGAGAGGAGTGTAGTTTGCTGCGGCGGATAGAAAATGACGGATTTAAGCTAGGAAGTTTAGCCTTCATCCCCAAGAAAGGCTCATGCCAAGAGATTTTTTATTTTCTTTCAAACTGGAGCTTGCTTGAATGGACGCTGCTTCTGCTGCGTTTCTATGTGACGCAAGATTGGTTCCCTATGTAGCCCCTGTCTCCTGTCTGTTTTATGCTGCAGCCATCCTGTGCAGCTAGTATGCAGCAGCCGACAGCTCATCCTTTGTTTTGCATTTTCATATCAAGTGCTGGGCATGTGAGCTCTGCAGGCTGCGTGCATACTCATGCAGACATGTCATCATGTCCCGATAAGTCTCTCAGACTGGAAACCTGGAGATGTGTCACCAGAGAAAGGTTCAGCTTCCTTCTGGGTCCTATTTGCTTTGCCTGTGAGAATCCTTGAGCAGGGGGTGGGAACAGCTGGACCACAGGCATTTTGCAGATCCAGATAGGGGGAATTATCCTGTGACCAGCTGAATGATCTACTAAGGGTTCCCAGGTGCATTATCCAGTGAGTGAATCACAGCTCTTCCTTTTCAACCCTATGGTACATTTGCATTCCTCTGTCCATGGAAAGTGTTGAAAAACAGTTATCCAGCAAATTGTATTCAGCTCCCCTACTTCCACCTCTCCCCACCTCAAGGTCATAGACACATCCATACTGACTCTACCCTCCATTCTGCCCAGTCAGAAGCAAATACAACAAGGGCATTTCTAACTAGCTTATTTGAAGAGCTTTTCCCAAATGGTTTGCCCTGAGTTATCAGTGATGTCCTGTTTCTAGGACAAAGAATTATTGCTCTGACCTCATAGTTGCTCCTTTCAAGGACTTGGGTTTAAAGATTATGAGGAGCTATTCAAACTCGCTTCTTTCTAGCTCCCTTCCCCCTTCTGTGCTGCCTCTCAATGTGTGATGGAATACACATTCACAGCAGCAGACCACTTAGCTCTATAGGCTTCCAACACTGTAAACATGGGATATTTATTCCTTTGTTGACCATTTCAGCCAACATTTCTTGAGTGCTATGGCAAGTTAGATGTATATGTGGAAGCTCAAAGATGCTAACAACTGCCACTAGTAGTGTAATCTACCTGCAAGCAGCTGGCTACAGCTCAGAGCAAAGAAAATGCCTATGTTTTGTGTCGCTCTGCCTCTGCTTTTCCCACCTACCTTTTTGTTTTTTTTTAAATTCTTTTCTATCTTATTTTCTTTCCTCTTCACATTTCCTCTCCCTTTCATACTGAAAGGACCAACCTTGTCCTTTTCTGTTCTTCCACCTAGTGTATGGTACCAATACTTATCCATGGTAAAAAGACAAGACACCATTTGGTACAATTCAAGATCTTTCTGGTGATTTTAGGTATTTGAGAGTATGCCAACAGGGTGAAAAGTTTAAACATTTAGTAAGTGAATAAAACTATTGGAAAAGAAATAACAGTTTATGACTTGGAAAGAAGGCCCATATTTTCTGAACAAAAAGTCAGCTCCTGGATTAGTCAGGATTGGTTGGGCTTTGCGGTTGTAATAAACAACCCCAAATGTCAGTGCTTAGTCTCACAAAAGTTCACCTTTTGCCGATGCTGTGTGTCCAACGTGGGGCAGCAGATAACTCAGTTTCATCAAGTCATTCAGGAATCCAAGCTATCGAGTACTCAGTCCTCTCAACACCTGCTGCCAAGTTCACTTCTGTAGGGAGGGCTAGAGGGTCTGCTGTGGACATGCTTTACACACAGTAGCCCCATTCAAATCAGTAGACAGACCACTGGCCTGGCCAACTGCAATGGAGCCAAGTAGTACAGCTGCTGTAAGCCCCGAAGGACAGTGTGCCTGACTCTGGAACGCTAGCAGTGACTATCCGCAGCACTTAGAATCTGAACCATGTGTGAAGTAAAGATTGTGGGGGGAAAAGTCCATGCTGTGGAACAAGAGGAGACAAGCTTAAAGCAAACAGCTGCTCAAGTCAGCCCCCTCCTTGCCCCCTCCTTGCCTTTCTGTGTCTTTTGACTACAGAGGTCTCTCACAAGCTCACTGCAAACCCTTGTATGGACCCTTATTTCCAGTGGCAACAATTTCACCAAACCCATACCTGCCCTTTTGTCTGATAATATGCCAACCTTAAATTGTCAAAATAATTCATCCCCAAGGCTGGAATACTCCTTCCCCTGCAACTACTCCTTCAGTTAAGGAAGGTATGAGGTTTGTGGGTCTTGGGTCTTTAGGAAGCACTGGCATTCTGAGCAAGGCAGGGAGATTAGCTCTCTCCTGTGACTTGTGGTGGATGGAGGCTATCAATCCTTCAGAGTGTCAAGAATTGACAGGACTGCTCCAAACTGAATACATAATCACCCCCCTCAGATGTATTCTCTCAATATGAAATTAACTGCATGTTGTATATAACCATGAAAGTCTTTGGTTTTACATAAAGTCCTGCGAATTTTTAAAATAAGCAACTTTAGTGCACTTGTAAACTAGGTTGTACATTTAGACTTTCAGGAACCCCAAAGATCATGTCCTAAGGGCATTCCAGCTAAGAGTGAGCACATGCTCATGATTCAATAAGGTCAGTCTAAAAGAAGAAAAGGCTGAAAAAAATCAGTCTGAAAAATTCAAGACTCCAAATCCAGGATGACTCTGGGTACGTTGCTTGGCTTTTCTGGTTTGAGCTTGTATGACCTTCAGCAAATTACATAACATCTTTAAGCTTTAATTTTCCATAAGATGGAGATTATAACAGTACTTGCCTCACATGCTTGTGAAAATTTAACAAGTTGATGATACTTAGCACACTGCCTGGCTTATACTAGCAGTCAAAAGACATTAACTGTTACCAGTAGCTGTAATGATTAATGTTGCTTAGGTTGGGTACCATTCATAGGATGTGTACCACAAACAACCCTGTACAAGACCCAATGAGGAATGCTTGAGTAAATTTGGCAGAATTTCTCATGTTGCAGATTTACAAATGTGCATGGTGGGATTGTGTGTGTGTGTGTGTGTGTGTGTGTGTGTGTGTGTGTGTGTGCAGGGATACTGTGTGTGGTGGTAGCATGATAGTGTGTCGGGAGCAGTGTGTGTGGGGTATGGCTTAGACATGAAGAGAAAGTGTAAGGAAAGACATAGAATAAGAAAAAATGAGTTAATAAAATAAAAGGAGATAGCATATAGTAGTGGACTTACTTTATAATAATTATTTTGCATGAATAGGCCTTCATATGGCCCAACTATGTCTACGTGATGCGATGGGTAGACCAGTGGTTGGGATGTGAAAGGAGAATCAGGTTGCAGTGTCCAGAATAGCTAGAGCACAGGAAATGCGGAGTATTCACGATGGACCAGGATTCTACAGAAGCCTGTCCACTACCATGGGTGGTCAATCGTTGTCCCTGTGTAATCTGAGGCACTTTTCATTCTAACTTCAGGTTCTTAGAAGTATGAAGCTTCACTTCTAAGAGGGGTGACTAAAACACATATTTAACAGACCAATCTGGGTGGCCAAGCCAGAGAAAAATGTCCTTGTTGGGAGCATAGCAGTTGTAACTCATACTGGCCTCATCATTCCACCTCCACAACAGTGTTTAGTGCATGCTTCAAGGCCAGGACAACCACCAACACCATGGTTTTTACCCTCATCTGCTGAAATCTCCACCAATATGCTTCAGAGATCAAAAGGAAAAGTTGTAAAGTATGAGGAAACTTAGAAACTTCTAGGTTCTTACATTTTTGGCCCATTAGCACTTTGGGGGATAAAAAGGTAATCACCCTGTAAAATCTCCTTTAAAATAGCCTTGTAGGCTTATCTGAAATTAACAGCTCCAGAGTTCTTGTTCTGTCTCTTGGCTGAGTTTATCCATTTGTATCTTGATCTTCTATTTGGTGAGAAAAGGTCTTAAGCACTTCTGCATTATAGACCAACCTTAACTGTATTTGAGACTAGGAATTGGGCCTGGGTTTAGATCTCCCTCCCTTTTTTATCTGTGTATGATTTAGTGTTCATCTTGCACTAGACACTAAAATGCATTGTTTAATTATCTGAGCTCAACACACCATTTTATAATTCATTAGTCAGTTGCTCTTTGCAAAAGCTTATTTCTTATGAAACAAAAGTGGGAATCATGCAACTGAACTATTTATCTCTCTTTAGGGGTTGGGGGTTAATATCTGATAGCTCATAACATCTTTATTATAATGCATTTATAATGATTTACTGGAATCATTCTATGGCTAAGTATCTAATGTCAAAGCCGAGATCTGGCATGAAATAAAATGCTATATCCTTGGGTAGCTCTAGGGAAAGAAAGGCCTCAGCCAATATTTTCTGAGTAATTCTACAAACTGTAATAAGGGTAGGGGTAATTGCCTTAATGTCAATTAAGCTATTAATAATGCCCATCTTGTCATTCCTAAATATAGCAGTGTCTCAATCATACATTACTGTCCCCTGTTAAGGCTACACAGAAATGAGATCATAGTGTGATGCAGGAAGTCCATCTAGCAGCCTGTCTTACCTCTTCTACCTAAGAGAAGACTTGGGGCTTTATTTATTGGTTATTTGTGGATAATTTCTACTTATACACAGTATGCATTTGTGATGGCAAGCACTGGCTATGCTTGTGAATGGGGTGGATGCAGCCTTAAAAGAAGGCCTTCCTAGGGGATTTCAAGATGGCTCAGTGATCAAAGGTGCCTTCTGCCAAGTGCAGCAAGCTGAGTTTGAGTCCCAGGATCCACATAGAGGACCAACTTCTCTAAGCTGTCTTTTGACCTCCACAAATGTGCCATGGTACATGGCTGTGTGTGCCTGTGTGCACATACACACACATACAAATAAATGTCATTAAAAATCTTCTAGATAGCTGGGAAAGGAGCTTCCAGAAGGACCGGCATCCCAGAGCATAGGCCCTGCAACTGATGGGCCAAATGGTCAACTGACAAATACTCAGAAGGACATTTTAGAGCAGAGACTCACACCGTGGCTACATCTGGTACTGTGTTACATGCATGCTGTTCCCAGGCCACACTACATGCAGATTGATGGTCCCCAAAGACAGACAGAAAACAAGATAAGAAGAATGAAGCAGAGACACTTTGGCATGGAAGCTCATGGTTGTTCAGGGAATTTCATCAGACAAGGTCAATGCTAACAGCACACCCAGAATAAGGAATAGGAAGCAATGAGCTCTAGGGCTTGGGGAGAGGGAAACTCCCAGCTCCCCAGAGTGCTCTAAATCCTGACACTCATCTTGCATGGAGAAGCAGGATGGGACCCTTCTTTTGCTGGCACTTACGGTTCTCTTGGGTGAGGACAGTGAGCAGTCACCCCCTCAACCCCACGGTGGCTGTCTTGGTGAAGTGAACTTCTACTTGATGATATTTAGAGCTCATTAATTTGTCCCAAGGAAGCTTATTGTATGGCAGTTTAATGACAGAAACCTGTTTTAATGCAAATGGACATGTAATCCTGCTAACCCACTTGGAGGGTGTAAATTTAACACAACTGCTAGGAACTGACACCTGAGTTTAATAAGATGGAGGACCAGTTCCTAGATCCTGGCACACCCAGGGGACCTTGCTTGGACACCCAGCCCTGGCCATTTTAATTCAGCTGTCTGTTACCATGGCAATTAAAAAAGGAGGGGACTTCATGAGGCTGCCCCCAGATGCTGGGTATGTGAGCTCTCAGTGGGGGAGGGAGGGAGGGAGACAGGAATGTGCAGGGAGGAGAGAAGGTCAGTGGGTCCTCTTTGCTGTGCCCCAGGGCACAAGACAGGGAAGATGAGGCTGGAAGCTCAGTGACAGCCTCTGTCCTGGGTGATTTTAATCATCCCGCCTGGCAAATCCACAGAAAGACCATAGAGCCTTGCCCGGGACCTTGTTCACCCAGCAGGTGAAGGCAGACACCTGGCTCCAAATGAGTGGGGGAAGGGACAGCAGAGGGAATTGTTTGTGAATATTTGTTAGATTATAATGCTTTGGGGTACTACATCATTCTCCAAGGAGCCCTGAATAAGGTTATTATGGGTGAAGTCATTTTTGTAATAAAGTTGGCTGTAACTGTAGGTCATAAATCATGGGTTCTGGTACTAAAAAAAAATGGCTAAACATGCCTCTGTTACCACACACTGTCCTCCTTTAAAATATTTTGATTTTACTACAAATCTTCCATTGACTAGGATGGGGGAAATACACACAGGAGCCAATGATTCCCTCTGTCCCGGCAGCAGTCCCGCCAGCATCTGGGCCTCCCGGAATGATTTCCTGAGGTGTGATGTTATTTATGGTGTGCTTTCTCTATCAAGAAGGCAAACAACCTCCCATGTGACCCCAGACGTTTGCATCATGGTTTCTCCGACTAATTGATTCATCCCCTGGCAGGGCCTGAGACACAGGCTGTTAGCTGGACACGCTCATTTCTGGCTGCAGACCCTGCAGATTAAGGTGAATAATAAGCAAAGATGTTAATAAAATTGTTAAATGTCAAAACCTCACAGCCCACGACCACTCGAAGTCTCTCATGTCTTCCGGAATCATTCTGTAAAATACCGTCTCCGCCCCTCGTCCTTTCCTCAGCCGAAACTTCGTAACCTTTGTTAAGGGGATTAAGAAGTGTCATGAGCAACACTGATTGTTTAATTCCTTTCATTACATCTTCCCTGCCAATAAGGGTCCAGCCCAAAGTGAAAGGGAAGGTTATCATATGAAGTACTTCTCAGATGTAATAAAGCAGAAAGGAGAAGGTGGCCACAGTGGCGGTTGTAAGAGGGACAAAGTGTGGATCTCTATAGCTCAGTGGCTGCAAAGCAGAAAATGAAGATTGTAAAAACGTCACATAAAGAAAAAATGCACAGTGGATTCGTTTTGCGATGCCCATAATTCAGTAATGCCTTTAAGTAGCTAGAAGAAATATAATAAATGTTTTTCCACAACATTGATCATACTGTATCAGAGGAAATATTAGTGTGCAGGGAGCCATGATTACACCGGTAGTAATTCTCAGTGCAGAAAACTAGTAGAAGATGGGACCCTTTATGGGCCCAACTTTTATTGGCTGCAGTTATTTACCTTTAAGAATACGCTTAATACATTGTCCTATAGCTAAATATTTTCGGGGAAATTCAAACCAGCCCTATATGTAAATCAGAAATCCTGCCACCATTTTATAGAATATATGTGTATGTATATATTTGTGTGGATGCTCTGATATGTTCCAGAATACAAAAGCCAGGCAATTGACCATGTTAAAATGCTAGGAAGCCTGTAAAACAGGATCTTCCTCTGTATCCTAAGCTGGGATAGGAGTGGACAGGTTTATGGTCTGCGATTCCATCCAAATGCCACCTGTATATATAAAACATCTCTCGGAAGAAATTAAGTGGATTGTTGGATTATATACTTCAGTAAAACTTGTGCTCAAAGAGAGGATATGCATGTTGTGTGCCTGGTTCTTCTTCTTCTTCTTCTTCTTCTTCTTCTTCTTCTTCTTCTTCTTCTTCTTCTTCTTCTTCTTCTTCTTCTTCTTCTTCTTCTTCTTCTTCTTCTTCTTCTTCTTCTTCTTCTTCTTCTTCTTCTTCTTCTTCTTCTTCTTCTTCTTCTTCTTCTTCTTCTTCTTCTTCTTCTTCTTCTTCTTCTCTTCCTCCTCCTCCTCCTCCTCCTCCTCCTCCTCCTTCTTCTTCTTCTTCTTCTTCTTCTTCTTCTTCTTCTTCTTCTTCTTCTTCTTCTTCTCCTTCTTCTCTTCCTCCTCCTCCTCCTCCTCCTCCTCCTCCTCCTCCTTAAAGAAAGCTTTGCAAAACAGGTTTGTGTGTATGTGTGTGTATTTTCCTTTTTTCTTCAAGTAGAAAAGAAACCGATTGTTTATGCCAGCCTCCTGCTTCCTGTCTGTGGCTGAGGCCATACTGGTATAGGAGGTTCCTATGTGCTAAGGAGACATTCCACCTTCACTATTCATGGGCTCCAGTTAAATTCCAGAAATCATCCTGTCAGGATCTGGGGAACATGAGATAAGAGCTGGGTTAGCCATACTCCTGCAGAATTCAAAGGAGAGAAGAGACCTGAGCTTGCCCATGTGCCCCATTCCTGATAAAACCTTGTTGTTCAAGTGACTAAGAGGAGCCAGAAGCCATAGGAAGCTGGGAGAGCCCCCTGTGGGCACAACACGAGAAAGGGGCATTTGTCAGCATCTGGACAACTCCCCTTGCAGTTCAAAGGCTTCCCCAGAGCCAGGCAAGCTGCAGAAAGCTGCAGGGTCGCCTGCTCTGCCTCAACCCATCTCTTTCCTAACTCTCCTTGACACAAGGAGGACTCTTGCCCCAGTCAAAGGAGGCCTTTCCTCCTCTTTCTCCCAGGGTCGTTTGCTTGATGTAAATCACACGTTTGACTATGTACAGTTGCCTTCAAGCCAATACATTTTCCACTTGGGCACAATGGAATATGTTATCCAAAGGGCATCTAGAGGTTTTTGTTGTTATTGCTTTATTTCAATGAAATTAAATCTTGGTTTTAGTACTTGCTTTCTGTATTGGATTACATACATGTTTTGTTTTGTTACTATTGTTTATATCAATGAGGAGAATGCTTTCTCCAAGCTTTGTAAAGAGGTAGGTGGTTGGAGGAAGGTCACAGTGTCTGTGAAGCCTGAGGGAGAAGCGGTGTGTGACAGTCTCTCTGGAGGGAGGGGTGCCTGGCAGGTTCCAGTGTTCCCTGGTGTATGCAGCACTGGCATGGCCATGCCTGACTGACAGGCTGGTATGATGTCACAGGCTCCTGCCAGAGTGTCTTGCCTGGACTGAGCAGGCAGTACCTTTTAGGCAGCTTTGTATATGTGATGCTGTCCTCAAGTCATGGTAGCTATTCTTGGGTTTTGTTTTCTTTCTTTATAAAGGTAGAAAATTTCCTTTTGTCTTAGCTGATTAATCTCCTGGCAGTTGAAAGTGCACAATTGAAACAAGAATGTTTTCAGGTCCTTATCGTTTTGAATTCACTCTTGGGAATAGGTCGCATTGATGGTTCTGTTGCCCAAATGTAGTGAAGTCAGATTATCAATCCTGGTCTTTCTTCTTTCTCCCTTCTGTTTTTTCTTCTTCCCCTTTCTTTCTCTTCTCATTCTTCTCACTTCCTTATCTGTTTCCTCCATCTCACCTCTGCACTCTCTCATTTTCCTTCCTTTATCCTTCTTTCAATTAATCTTTAATGGCCTGGTGAAAATATTGATGAATTTGTTGCTGAGATTATTTAATAAAAATGTCCAGGGTTGCCAATGCCTTCTCTCAAGTGTTCACCAATGGAAGAAAATGAAGCTTCCAGTGTTTCTGGGTGTGTAGTTCACACATCACCATATCTGTACTGTAGAAACAGCTGTATTAGGAGAATCAGAGATACTCCTGCAATTTTGGTGAAAGCACAACAATAAGAACATGTGACTACAAAACATGGTACATTTAAAAATGAGATATACTTGTAATTATTGCAGTAGCCGCTGGATGGCACTGTTGCATACATCTGGTGTTAAAACCTTCCTACCTAGCCTGGTGTTAGGTTTTTGAAGCCGATTCTTACCTTCTGGGGGTAACCTTTTGACTGGACACACACTATCAGGCTTATAGAATGTCTTTTCCATTAGGGGCAGGTGGTTCAAGTCTCAATTGTCCCACTCCACTGAGAATTCTCATTTTCCTGGATGAGGGTCCCTAAACAATTCTTCATTTTATTTATTTATTTCCTTTTTAAAAAATTTAAATTAGAAACAAGCTTGTTTTACATGTCAATCCCAGTTCCCTCTCTCTCCCCTCCTCCTCTGCCTCCCCTATCCCATTCCCTTTCTGCTCCCTAGGAAGGGTGAAGCCTTCCATGGGGGATCTTCAAAGTCTGTCATATCATTTGGAGCAGGGCCTAGACCCTCCCCCGTGTGTCTAGGCTGATAGAGTATCCCTTTATTTCTTCACTATATTTAAAAGGATAGTTATCTTTTTATGGTAGTTTACAACATTAGATAATAATTGTAATGAGTAAACTCTAGATACCAAGTGGAGTGAGGCAAAAATAAAGCCATGAACACCTGGGTTCATAAGGTACCCTCCCCCACCCTTAAATCGCTCCCAACAATTTCCTAAATGTTTGCTCATCTGTCTTCCTAGCACTCTTAAGGGGCTACCTGCCTTTAGTTCTTTTCTGGGTCACACTTGACCTGCGAAATAAATGCACTGAAGTCATTGTTTGTTCTGGCTTCCCCCAAGCAGAGCAATCCAAATGCATATTCCAGACAGCTTCCAGCCTGCAAAAATCATTAGTTGGAATTTTAATAGTTCTCAAGTTAAAAAAAAAAAAACCTTACTCTTAACATTCCATAATCCACCGACACGTTGGGTCTTAAAATTCATTTGAAAAATGTCAGTCATTTTGTACAGCTGATGTTATACAGAAAATGGACCTGGTTGAGTGTTCAAATGCAGAAAAGGCCTGGCCCAATGGAAGCAGTAGCTAGAGCCATGAAAAAGAAATGGGTTAACAATTGGAACAATGGTCAGCCCTCCCTAGGATGAGGTGACCGTGAGCTTCAACGGTGCTGTCTGGCTCAGTGTCTGTCTTTTGACTTCAGTTTTGAGGTTGTTTTCCTTAACTTCCTCTAGTGCCTTTGGACTACTAGAGAAGCCCGTGAGCTTGAGGACTACTGGCCTAGATTTTGTGTGGGGGGGCACAACTCTCTGCTCCAGTGAATTATCAGAGAGCCACGCTGCCTGCCATCTATGGGATGCTTTGATCCAAAATTTCAGTCATTGTTTCCACATTTAGGGGCTGGAATGAACATCAAAGGAGTGGGTGTGCGGAATTTACTGAATGCCAGAGAAGTACAATAACATACAGAGGACATAAGCAAATCCCAGTGGCAACATTTGCCGCCAATTCCTGTGCATAATAGAGGCCCTAAAGTGACAGTCTGTCTTTGACAAATACATAATGATATCAACGCCGAGGGAAGGAACTAGTACGCTGAAAGGTGAATAGAAGAGTCAGGAACAATTCAGTGGACGCACACATTTCCTCCCTGTGTTTGCTCACAACAAGGAAAGCAGATGACACGGGAGTATTAGGTCATCCTTAGATGGGACTGCAGACTCACCAGCAGGTCTGGACCGACCTGCCTCTTTTAAGATCCTGTACCGAAGATGAGAATAAACTGTGATTAGAAGTCACTCATCTTCTGGAGGGAAGGGAATATAAGGAACAAGTAAAGTGAAACTAGCTCTCTTGCTCTGTCTTCGGTAGTTCCAGATTTTAAAGGCCATATGTTGTTTACTATAACTTCTTCGCCTCCCAGGGCCAATGCATTCCAAACACTACCGCTAGTCGCTGCTCTGAGAAGTCTCGGAAGCCAAGGCTCATTTGTATCCACAGTCTTTGTTCAAATATGGATTGATTTTGCTTAATTTCTG